CACACACAAACAAATGCAAACATTTTTTCACGCACACACTCTCACATGCATGTACACATACACTCTCACAAACAGTAACACAGAATCACACTAATGCATATATTCTTGCTCGCAAACACACACACACACACACACACACACACATACACACAGAGAGGGAGAGAATCAGACAACACAATAATCACACTCATGCATACATTATTGCGCGCGCACACACACACACACACACACACACACACACACACACACACACACACACACAGAGAGGGAGAGAATCAGACAACACAATAATCACACTCATGCATACATTATTGCGCGCACACACACACACACACACACACACACACACACACACACACACAAAGAGAGAGAGAGAATCAGACAACACAATAATCACACTCATGCATACATTATTGCGCGCGCGCACACACACACACACACACACACACACACACACACTGAAGAGGTGTGAAACACTCTCTTAATTAAACCCATCCAGCCGTGGTGCGCTCCCGTTACAGCTCATTGTTCAGGGGAACACACCAGCGTGGGAAACTTTCTGAAGTGGCCAAACACAACACAACACACACACACACACACACACACACACCCTGATTGAAGTGATGAGTGAAAGTTTTGTCCTTCAGCTTGAGTTGTGAACAGGATTAACACTGTTCTGATGTGCTCTGCTTTCAGATCGCAGCGTCGTACGGGAACATCGTGTGTGTGTTTGAGCCGCTGGAGGTCAGTCCGGAAGGGAAAGCACAGAAAGTGAGTTTACAGTCTTCGAGTGCGGTCAGATTTACTGCTGCACATGTTGCTCCGTCCAGTCCACTTTACATCACACAGAGGATTGAGTGACGTCAGTTTAATCATTCAATTTAAACATTACTGAGGACGGGCATCACGGTGGAGCAGCTTGACTTGAGTCCCGGCTGGGTCAGTTGGTGTTTCTGTGTGGAGTTTGCATGTTCTCCCTTTGTTGGTGTGGGTTTCCCCCACAGTCCAAACACATGCGCTATAGGTGAACTGGGTGAGCTAAATTGTCCATAGTGTATGAGTGTGAATGTGTGTATGGATGTTTTCCAGTGATGGGTTGCAGCTGGAAGGGCCATCCGCTGCGTAAAAGATTTGCTGGATAAGTTGGCGGTTCATTCCGCTGTGGTGACCCCTGATTAATAAAGGGACTAAGCCGACAAGAAAATGAATGAATGAATGAATGTAAATAAGAAGACGTGAGGGCAGCACAGGGGCTCAGTGGTTTGCACTGTCGCCTCACAGCAAGAAGGTTGCTGGTTTGAGTCTCGGCTGGGTCAGTTGGTGTTTCTGTGTGGAGTTTGCATGTTCTCCCTGTGTTGGTGTGGGTTTCCTCCGGGTGCTCCGGTTTCCCCCTCAGTCCAAACACATGCGCTATAGGGGGAATTGGGTAAGCTAA